CCTTCCCCTTCGGTTCAATCTTTTTCCAGGTAAAGGACACTGAAGAGAAATTTATATGGAAGTTCAATACCTGCCTAGTCCAGGTATCTTCCCCACCCCCATCCCTCACCTCCTCAGGATTATTTTCTTTTCCTCCCACCTCAATTGCTCCTTGTTCCTGCCCTAAACGCAGTGCTCTTTACCAGGATTAAACTTCCAGAGGTCATGGAAGTGCCGGTTCAGCCTTGCATTATAGCCACCAAAGATGTACAGCTCCCCATTGTAGCCAACTGGAAGGAGAGAGAAAACATCAAGAGTGTGAAGAGGGCAGGAAAGGAACTCCACATGGAAGTAACAAACACTCACAGGCCGAGTGGCTCCGGCGCCCCTCAGGCAGCACTGGAGTCGGGGGACAGTCCAGCCAAGCCTCAGTTCTGGTGTCAAAGACTCGAATGCGGTTGCAGTAAATCTCATTGTTGGAATGGAATGGCCCAAAGCGGTCGGCACGGCCCCCAAAGACGTACATGTGACTTCCCAGCATTGTGGCTGAGTGGAAGTCCCTCCAGCGTGCAGGGTTGCCCTGGGCAGAGGCAGAGAGATGGTGGAGGGGTCAGAACAAAGGCTGGAAGAGGATCTGCTCTGACTGAGCTTCCTATCATTTCTTCAACGGAGGGTGGGGATTTGGGAGAAAAAAGAAAGAGCAGACCTTTGTACAGATAAGAGTCCATGTCATGGTGCTGGTATCTAGCTTGTGAATGTCATTGGAAAAGCAGTCCGCCTGAGTAGGAAGAGAAAAGGAGGAAGAAAAGAGGGAGCCAACAGTCACTCTCTGACCCTCCATCCCTCCCCTCAAAACATGCAAACAAGCCAAAGCCTCCCATTTCACCATCCAAAATTGCCCTTCCCCTCTTTCTCAGTCCCACCCTAAACCTCTTAGTTTATTCCCAGACCTACCTGCTGCTCGTAGCCCCCGAAAATGTACATGATCTTGCCTAGGACACAGGCCGAATGTCCATCCCGGGCCCCAGGAACTGTCCCTGACACTCGGGGTGTGAACCACTTGTGAGTATCTGAAGGAGATGAGAAAATGGCTCAACTAAGCACCCTCTACAACACTCCCTCCTGAGCTCTGGGGTACTCTACTCCCCAAGACCCCAACCCAAACCTTTCTCAGGCAACTGAGGCAACATCTAGAAGGACATAGCCTCTCTGAGATCCATACTCACTGACGTCAAAGGCATACAGCACATTGCAGGCCCCTTCGGTGTCATTCCGCCCGCCCCAAAGGAGGACCGTGTCGTCAATGAGGACGGTTGAGTGTCCATAGCGCATGTAGGGTACGACAGGAGCTTGCCCACGGATGGCAGACTTCACCGGGGGCAGCTTTGTCCAACGCAAGGACACTGTGGACACAGCTCTGCTCAGCCCTGGGAACTTCCCTCCAGGCTGTCCACCTTTCCCAAACCAGATGTTCGTCCCCAATCCCCTTGGTCCCAGAGACCACAGCCAAACCTCATCAGCAGCCCGTTTCCCACCCTGATGTGGGGACTCAGGGACAGCCCCAGCACTGGCTTACCTGCATTGAAAATGTGCACATCTATCTGACGCAGCGTCTCATAGTCTTCACCAGAGCAGTAACCCCCGAAGGAGTATACCCGATGCCCAACAGCCACTGCAGCATGGTTCACCCTGCGGGGCCCGCCCTCCAGGTGCACTGTCCACCGTAACATCCCCTGGACCACTGGTTACAGCAACATGCCCCCCCGGCACGGCCTGCTGCCTCTGCTACCTGCACACAAATTGGGGCCACAGGATCCTCAGGCAAGGCTTCTGCCCAGCTCACTGTGACTCTGCCCAGAACCAGCCTTTGCCTCCAAGTGTCACCCTGGTGGCCCTCCCACACTACCCCTCCACAGGGACACTAGTCACAGCTCAGGTGGCTGGCCCTGCCCCAAGGGAGCTGCCGAGGTCAGGGAGCTAGCCCTGGCCCAGTGTTCTCCAACAGTGAAGGGTGGGGCCACCCCCACTTGATTGCCAGCTCAGAATCTGCTGATTATGGTCACCACCTACTCGTGGAGGCTCCACTCTGTCCCTGGCTTGGCACAAACTTGAAGCCCCTTCCCAAATGGTATATTCTCTTGTCTCTGCTCTGCTTACTGCCACCTCTCTAAGAATCTGTGTTCTTTAAGGTGGGGAAAGGGATCTCAAAATACTCACAGCTATTAATAGCCCAGCCAGCCTCAGACAGTCCATCGAAAGCTGGCATGAGTGCCTCAAAGCAGAAAAGCTTTCAGGCTTTTAGAGTAGAACAATCCCCCTACCCAGGATAGGGCGGGACTGATCCAGGAAGGGACCTCCATGTTACCTTGGTTGGTTAGCCCCTCACAGGGAGCTCTTGTCAAGCTGAGTTGTTGTCATTGGGGTCACCCAGGGCCCCCCACAGGCACAAGGAGTTCCTTTGACAGCTGTGCCTGGTATGCTGCCAGGACTTAAGCCAGAAAGGTATGTGTATGCTTAGGCTTGGGGGATGGGGATAGAGGGAAGGGTTTTCTCCTCCTGCCACTTCCCCATCCCTGCTACTGTGGTAGAACAAGCCATTTCCAGTAGAAAAGAGGGAACAAGGTCTTCCACAACTTGGGCTCCTGAAAGGCGGATAGAGGTGAGAGTGTGCAATGGAAAGGGGAAGGGGCTGGGCACGGTGGCTCACGCCTGTAATCCCAGCACCTTGAGAGGCCGAGGCAGGTGGATCACGAGGTCAAGAGATGGAGACCATCCTGGCCAACATGGTGAAACCCGGCTCTACTAAAAATACAAAAATTAGTTGGGCATGGTGGCGTGCGCCTGTAGTCCCAGCTACTCAGGAGGCTGAGGCAGAATTGCTTGAACTTGGGAGGCGAAGGTTGGAGTGAGCCCATATCGCACCACTGCACTCCAGCCTGGCGACAGAGCGAGATTCTGTCTCAAAAAAAAAAAAAAAAAGAAAAAGGGGAAGGGAGGCAAAAAATGCCCTTGGGCAGGACAAGAGAAAGATCGAGCATGAGAGGTCATGGTCTTTTTTTTTTTTTTTTTTTTTTTTTTTTTTTTGAGATGAAGTATCACTCTTGTTCCCAGGCTGGAGTGCAATGGTGCAATCTTGACTCACTGCAACCTCCACCTCCCGAGTTCAAGGGATTCTCCTGCCTCAGTCTCCTGAGTAGCTGGGATTACAGGTGACTGCCACCACACCCGGCTAATTTTTGTATTTTTAGTAGAGACAGGGTTTCATCATGTTGGCCAGGCTGGTCTCAAACTCCTGACCTCAGGTGATCCGCCTGCCTTGGTCTTCCAAACTGCTGGGATTACAGGCGTGAGCCACCGCACCCAGCCGGTCACGATCTCTTAAACACAACCAGTCAACCTAGGGGCAGGTACACCTGGGTACATCTGAGGTTTTTTTCAGGCAAATCCTTGCAAGTGACAATGCTTTTGCTGGCAGGCATCTCCTGAGTTTGGGTGGATCATCATCTGCTCCCTGTTTAAGAAGCCCTGGCAGAGGAAAGGGCCAGGCAAAACCTCAGGCACAAAAACAGCTCTAATAAGGGAGGCCCCTTGCAGGAAAGAGACATGGCTTTCAGCTGGCTTGCTAGTCCCACCCACCCAACCTCCCCCAACTCCACACCCCAAGCTTTAAATAGCCATGGGGCCCATCCTGAAATAGCCCCAGCAGGAAGCTACTCTCACTTCATTACTCCCGGTCTCCAAAATATCTTGGGTCTGGGCTTGTGGAAATTGTTAAGAGGTCGATGCGCTTAAGAATGGAAGTCTTCCATCCTTCCTTATATCCTCTATTCTTCCCTTCAGATATGTCAAGGTAAAGTAAAATATGCACAGGAGAAGAGATAAGCAATTCCAGCCAAAGGTGGGGAAAAAAATTTTAGTTTCTCTGCCATAAGAACAACTCAAATTCAAGGAGAACAAGCCCCCAGGCTCTCAGGGGCTCCTCTTATCCCTGGGTCTCCCCAATCCTCCATCACCACCAAGCATTTTCAAGCTTCTTCTATTCCCTTAATGTATCTACCCGCCTGTCTCTTGCATTTTTTATTCCCCATTTCTCGCCCTTCTCGATCTCGTGAGAGCTTTGCAGTTTTCTCATTTTTCCTTCTCCTACCATTCCAAGCTCCACCCAACAGCCCTCCATTTTCCCACCTCCACTAAGGAAAGAAAAATTAACATGCCCTGACCACGGATATCCCTCCCTGCATATGACTCTATCCCTGTCTTCTTCCAGACATTCCGGCCTCCTCTAGCCCACCACGCCAGTCACCCCTCCCCTTCCACTACGCTCAACTTCCCTGTTTTCATAGCCCAGTCTTCCTTCCCATTTCCTTCATTGCTTCCTCCAGACACCAGGTCTCTCCTACCCATCTCCTGGCCATCCTCCCCTAGACTCGCTTTCCCCATTAACACTCTCCTTTCCCATCATCCCCCTAGCTCCCTCCCCACCCCCACCTCATCACTCTCAGGCCCCTCCCCCGCCACTCCAGCTCTAGACAGCGCGTCCTCAGCCCCCTAATTCTTCCTTGCCCTTCCACCCATCCCAGGCTACCTGCCAGGCCGAGCCGGGGCGGGGCCGCGGGTCCTCGCGCTGCCTGCAGCCTAGAACCCGTTGCGCGCCAACCGACGCCTTAGTCCCCAACGAGATAAACACAGCCAAGCTCGATTCTTCCGGCGGGCAGCTGTGCGCGCACGTGCAGTCGTAGCTAAGTCCCCGAGGCATTCCGGGACTTGTAGTCCACACGTTTCCTGAGAGACGAGAGGGCTCAGGAGTGGGCAGGGGCGCAGGAGAGATTCTGCGCATGTGCAAATATGTGTCAAGACCGAGGAGGCCACTGGGTAATGCAGTCTTTTGTTTTCTGGGCTGGGCATGACGGAGGCGGGGCAAGGGGGGGGAACTCCTCGTCCTCGCCAGTGTCAATCATGGGCATGGGGCGGGGCTGGAGGACTAGGCACCTCTGCACGTCCTGCCCCGCCGGAAGTGGAGGCCACGGGCTCTGAGCGGGTGAGGCGCGCGGAAACACCGGCGACGGGATTCGGATGGGGGCGGGTGGGGGACGCCGCAGCTGGGGCCATTTGAGGGGAGCCCATGGGGCCTGAAGGGCATCTGTCAGGCGGTACAGAGGGGGACTTCTAGGAGAGGGGAGAAGGGGGCGGGTACGCCCTGTTTAGGGGGACTCTGATGACCCAGAGTTCCCAAGTCGCGGGGGAGGCGTGGCGGGGGAGCCGGGATTTTGGAAGGGGTGTCTTTTAGGAGGTGGCAGGGCCTCCAGTTGGGCGTTTAATTAGGAAGTGGCGGAGCAAGGCGGATGGGGCCTGGTTCAAGATAAGAGCCCCGACTAAGGGGGAGGAACGAGAGGCTGGAAGCGGGGCGGAGGGGTGGAGGATGCAGGAGCCTCGGGGAGGAGCTGGTTATTTTGCACACAGGAGACCACAAAGAGATGATGAGAGGATGAACATGGGCCTGGTTTCATCCAATCCTTGTCCTATCGCCTCCCTGTTCTTGCAGCCCCTGCCCGGATGGCAACAGTAGTTCTAGGGGGAGACACCATGGGCCCTGAGCGTATCTTCCCCAATCAGACTGAGGAACTGGGACCACATCAGGGCCCTTCAGAAGGCACTGGGGATTGGAGCAGTGAGGAGCCTGAGGAAGAGCAGGAAGAAACGGGGTCGGGCCCAGCTGGCTACTCCTACCAGCCCCTGAACCAAGATCCTGAACAAGAGGAGGTGGAACTGGCACCAGTGGGGGATGGAGATGTAGTTGCTGACATCCAGGATCGAATCCAGGTAGGGTGGAGGAGGGATGGTTCCTCAACAGGTGAAGCTGGGCTCCCTGAAAGCCTGGACCCAAACAGTCTTCTCTGGCTCTGCAGGCCCTGGGGCTTCATTTGCCAGACCCACCATTAGAGAGTGAAGATGAAGATGAGGGAGCTACAGCGTTGAACAACCACAGCTCTATTCCCATGGACCCAGGTAAAAGATCATTCTTTCATTCTGGAATAATTACTAAGGAAATGAACTGGCATGAGTCAGTAGAAGGAAGTTTAAGAGGAAGACCCTATCCTAAAAAGATAGTTTGTAAACTAAGATTTTGTAGACTTCAGAGTCCAAGTGAAATGCTCTTCTGCTATCTTTGGGGATGGGCAGGCTTGCCTTGAAGTAACAAGATGGATTTGGTGACCCTACCAGCCCAAGGGCTCTGGGTTGATTCAGGGATTGGGGAGGGGAGCTGGTCCCATTATTTCTATACCTGAGTGGCCTCTGGCTCTGATTTCAGAACATGTAGAGCTGGTGAAAAGGACGATGGCTGGAGTAAGCCTGCCTGCGCCAGGGGTTCCTGCCTGGGCTCGGGAGATATCGGATGCCCAGTGGGAAGATGTGGTACAGAAAGCCCTCCAAGCCCGGCAGGCATCCCCTGCTTGGAAGTGACCACAGTGAGAGCTGCCTTATCTTCCTACATTCCAGGCCAGAACCAGCACAGGACTGAACACATCCCTGGTTGTAACGTCCATTTCCATCTTCCCCATCTCCCTTTCCACATCAAGGCACATCAGACTTCTCAGAGACCCACTTTATTCAGTTCTGTACATATGGGGACATCGGCCCAAGCCCAACCCACCTTAGCATGTATCACTCTGTGGAGAATAAAGCACCCTATGTACACAGCCAAAAGCCGCACTGCCTGCGCCCCTGGAACCTGGGTCCAGCCCTCCTCAGCCCCTGGCCCCTCCAAGGTACCTACAAGGGACAAGAGAAGGCCTGCCCAGCATAGCACAAACAAGGAAATAAATAGGTGTTGGCAGGAGCCATGCTTGGGGCACCGCTCCCTGCTTCCTTCTTTATAGTTTTGGGAACCAACAGCACAGAAAAGCAGTCAGCCCCAGGTGGTCCCTTCCATGTCTGTGACCCCAGGGCTGCTGCTCACCAAAGACAGGGCATGGGATAGGGTGTTTGTTCATCCCTCCCCGGCCACACTTGGTCCATCTGGGCCCTATATTCATCAGTTATTGTCCACAGCCTATGCTTTTCTCCTTTTGACCTCCCTTGGTCAGGCATGGGGTAAGAAAAAATAGTACAACCCTATCTGCCAGCACATGGCTGCGGCTGGGGGGCCTGTTTGTGCTGCAGGGGGTTGGCTTCCCTCCAGCTACTCCAGGGGCCAATGGGGCTTGACATAACTTTGGTGAGAATAATCTCTGCTGTTCCCTACATGCCTCTGCAGGGGAGAGAGAGGAGGGGAGACACCTGGCGTTCAAATGAGGATGAAGGGAAGAATAGAGGAGCATATGTATTCCTGTGTGTACTTCTCAGAGCAGCCTCAGGTAGCTGTGGGTGAGGAGCAGGTAGGGGACAGGCATCCCCAGGTTGTCTGAGCCCTAAGCATCTTAGTGCTCAGCCTGTACTAGCCACAGGGAGGCATGAACACCTTTTGGGGAGAAGAGGGACCACTCTGTGGGTGTCCCTGCTTCAAGTGCCCGCATCCCCCTCCCTGGAGTAGCTAGAGAGGCGCTGCCTTCCCCCAAGTCAGCCAGTAGGGAGCAGAGTGTGGAGGGCCGGGGCAGTGTCCCAGGGCTGAGTGGGCTGTGGCCCTGTGGTAGGAATGTGAGGGGTCAGAGAGCCTCCTGGCTGGCAGTTAGAAACTCTTCCGCCCGCTTGTGCGCTTCCAGTGCCTTGATGGTGTACACGTCCTGGGGCAGCTCCGACTTCCTCCGCAGTAGCACTTTCTCCTTCTTGATGTCTTTTAGCATCTGTGTGTGAATAGGGACAAGGAGAGGAACGGTGACCAATTCCCAGTGAATTCTGTTGTTTCCTCCCCTTATTCTTTGGCTGTGCTGTTTCTGTCTCCTCTCCCTTCCAGAACTATTATTTCTGCTCCACCCCGCTACATTGCCCTCCCACCTGCACAGCCTCAGTCTCCACAGTCCTCTTCAGAAGCTGGATGTCCTCAGCTGTGGGGGTCTCTGTCTCCATCGAATACACAGGGGGCAGTGGTGGAGGAGCTCGGAACATGGGATACTGAGTGAGAGGAGACATGGACAAGTGGTGAGAGCCACTTCAGAGGCTTGGAGGCCTGTGTGCCCCATATTCCTCCCCTAACAAACTCTCCCCAGCTCAAGATGGGCTGGCCCCTCGGTTCACAGCAGTGGCAGGAAAACCTCACCTGGGGATTAAGCCGGGCCAGCTCCTCAATTTTTTGCCACATCTCTTCCCTTTCCTTCATTCGGAACCGGCCCCTGAGGAGCAAAAGTAGGATTGGGTTTGGGCTTGAGAGAAACACAGTGAGCTGGTGGTAGAAGATGAAAGTCTCCCGGGGAGAGAGATACTCACTTCTGCTTCTCTGCCTTGTATTGTTGTGTGCAGTCATCAAACAGCTTCTGATTCATTTCCATAAACAGCTTCAGGGCATTGTAGATCAGTCCATGGATTGTCCTACCACCAGGAAGAAAGATGAGTAGGAGGCCAGAGCCTGCCCTTAGTGCGAGGAACTCAATTTGTTCTCTCACAGGGGTATCTCTGCTAAGAGCTTTGTCATTTACTATGTCCAGTTCACAAACCTCTATGCAGTATCAGAAGAGAACTCTGGCCAAATCACCTGGTTTGAGACTGGCATTTCATGGTCTTCACAAATATTGGTCCACGTGTCCATCCTTCCCTCACCCCATGCTCTTCACCCCATCCTTCCCTCACCCCTGCCTACCTCCCATCCTTTCCCACTCTCTAACCCATACTAATGGCCTCCCAGCAGCATGATGGGCATGTAGATGCAGCATGACGGACTGCATCTGCACCACAGTGTGCTTGCTTTTAGCAGAAAAGTCTTTTCAAAACCCTGAGAGAGAGTTTCTTTTTTTTTTTTTTTTTTTTTTAAGACGGAGTCTCACTCTGTTGCCCAGGCTGGAGTGCAATGGCATGATCTTGGCTCACTGCAACCTCCACCTCCCAGGTTCAAGTGATTCTCTTGCCTCAGTCTCCCAAGTAACTAGGACTACAGGCATCTGCCACTACGTCCAGCTAATTTTTGTATTTTTACTAGAGATGGGAGTTTCACTATGTTGGGCAGGCTGGTCTCAAACTCCTGACCTCGTGATCCACCCGCCTCGCCAGCCTCCCAAAGTGCTGGGATTACAGGCGTGAGCCACCGTGCCTGGCCTAAAACCCTGGGATTCTTTACACAGACTCTCAAAGAGGGTCACATCAGCTTCTCACTGCATAGAATTACATCTCCAAAGCTGTGATAGGACTGCAGAATAGCTGACCCCAAGGAGTGGTATAACACAGGCCACTGCCCTGCTGTTTGGTATCACAGAGATCTTGGTACGCAGGCTTTTTTTGCTCCAGTCAGCCCCTCAAGGTCCTATCAATATGTAGGGGACATCAGCCCCACTTGCTGGGTGACCAGGTGAGACCCCTGGCTCTTTAGTTCTTCCATACCCTCAAAGTTTCCCAAACTGGATCCCCACCACCCAGCCCCACCCCAGCGCCTTACTTGTTCCAGTGGCTCTTGGAGTTCCTGTAGAGTGCAGGGAACATGATGGGGAGGACTCGGGCAGCATTGTCACTTATCAGGCTCATGATGTACTCATTGTTCCAGTAATAGAGAGCACGCTCTGCCACCTGGTGGAAAGAGGCGGACTCGGTGGGTGCTGCCCATTTCACTCAAGACCTTCTCAGTTTCTGGCAGGGGTTGGGATGTGCTGGGTTGGAGTCTCACCTGGAAATGGGGGCTAGAGACACACTTGGCCAGCTGGCGGAAGAGGGGTTCCATCACTTTGCTGAACTCGGAAGGTTCAATGACGTCCAGAATCTCCTCCAGCTCATTCAAGAACATCACCTCCTTGGGGCTGTGGGTCTTAGGCCAAAACTTGAGAAGTCCCACAATTACCTGGGAGACAAGGAGGGCATGGGGATGAAAATTCTTTGCACCTGCCTAGGTCTCCAGAAAGTTTTCCTACCTGCTCTCTCCCCCACCCTGGTGGGCACAGTTTGGGTAATCTCAGCCAGCTGCCCGTTTCTTTGCCTTAGATCTGTTTCCTAGGTGTATATAGGTTTCGCTTCCCCTTCAGAGAGGAAACCATGTTACCAGTCAGGTCACAGCCCTCCTGAGCACCCCCTTATGGCACCCCCAGTAGGTACAGACTGGCAAGTGATGCTGACAACAGTAAGAGGTGGGCCTTGGGGCCCGGAAGGGGAATTACCGGCTCAGTCAGACTGCTCTCCTTCTCCAGGAATTGTACCACACAGTATGCCAGCTGCAAAAGTGTGAGGTAGAAAGGAGGTGAGGTGTAGGTCCTAGAAGTTCTCAGAGAAGTCAGTGATAGAAGCAAGATCCCAGAAGGGAAGGGGAGGTGGAGGGAAGGAATTATCCCCCCTGCTCCCTATGCTTCCCCTATCCCAGCTGGAACACCTTCCTGCCCACTGTTTTCTCTGCTGCCTGAGTTGGACATTATGAAGAGGAAGGCAGCTCACCTGAGGGTGGTAGACACTCAGGGACTTGACCTTGTGAAGGGGAAGCAGGACACGGATGAGGAACATCTTGTGCTCTTCTTTAAGGGGCAGGGCAAAGCCATTGATGATGCTAGGAATTAAGGGACATTTGTTAGGACCAAAGGGTCAGATCCAAGTTCAGTGCACCAATCCTCCCAACCTTTTTCAGGCATCTGTGCCCCCACCCAGCCTCTTACCTGCCCAGGATCTCCAGGAGCTCAGCAATCCCGTTGTGATGCTCCGTCTCATAGATGAACCTGAGGGAAGAAAAATGGCTCTTGACAACCCCTGATGTCCTTCCAGCATTCTGTACAGTTCCCCCACCTCCCTGCTCCCACCCCACCTCAGTAGCAGAATGCTTTGCTCCTAAGCCTGGGCTCCTGGCCTCACCTGTAGAAGATGTGGTTGATCTGCCTACGGATATAAGCCCGGAGCCCCAAAAACTTGCCATAGATGCGGTGCAAAATGGTCTTGAGGAAGTCCCGCTCTCGAGGATCCTCACTGTCAAATAGGTCTAGGAGCTAGGGGCATGAGGGAGGGAAAGCAGCCAGTGAGGCAGCAGCCAGGGAAGGTGGGGCCCCGGTGACATAGGTCCTGCCAGGGGAAGTGCAGAGGTCCCCTGGAATGGGGGCCAGCAAGTCTTAGAAAGCAGAGTGATTCTACTGTATTGCTGATTCTATTGTATTTGTACTGAGACGTCCAAAGTGATGCCTTCGTATTGACTGGAGAGAGGTACTCTGTTGCTTTTGTTTCCTACCATTATGCTGTTAGTTTCTTAAGGCCAGAGTAGGGTTTTTTGTTTGTTTCTTTGTTTGTTTTTTAACCCTTTATAGCCTCCTCATACCAGACATGGATGAAACCCAATATATTCAGCATAAGGGGGAAGAGCCACTGGGAGACAGATGAGTGGGGCATGGAATGGAAAGAGAAGGCAAGGACAGGAACTCAGGGACTCACAGCAAGTACAAACTTCTGGTCGATGTACTTCTTGGCTATGTTTGGCTGGAAATCAGGAGACTCAAGGAAACGTAAGAAGAACTCATACACGAGCTATAGGGGAAAAGGCACACCACTAAGGGGATGTTCCCAAGGACTTGCAGGCCTCTACTGCCCCACTCCCTGCAGCCAGGGCCAACCTGCCCCCCTTGCCCTGGTACCTGGAGATGTGGCCAAGCAGCTTCCAGGGTGGGCTCATCTTCTTCTGGGTCAAACTCAGCCCCTGTGGGATTCGATGAAGGTGGCAGCGTCCGGAAGAGGTTCACTGAAAACTGAGGGGTAGGGTCAGTTAGAGCTCCACCTGGGCTTCTCCAGAGCCCCCCGCCAGTTCCCCCTGTGTCCTTTCCCTGTGCCCACCATGGTGACAGCCTCAGGGTAAATGGCCTCAGTGACAACATCACGGCTATGGGTGATGTACTCCACCATCTCGTTGAGTCCTGCCCGCTTCACCTCCTTGAATTTGAGGTCACTGAGTGGGTCTGACACGAAGTCAAAGAGGACACAGCACTGGCGTAGCTTCTGGATAAACAGCTCCTCCCGCTCCTGGGTTGGCGAATCTGTGGGGGCCCCAGCAGTCAGGTTCTCCTCTGTAGTCCTTCACTGCAATGCCCTGCTTGCCTTCAAGGGCTTTCCCTTAACCCACCCTGCCACCATCCTGCTCCCTGGCACCCCCTTCCCACATTCTCTGGAACTCCCTTCCCCCCCAAATACCCCAAAACTTCCATTCCACCAACTCCCAATGCCCCCTAGACCTGGTACAACAACCCCTGTGACCAGTTGCGAAGTACCTTTCAGGGCAGGAAGCTTCTGCAGCTCTCGATTCTTGCTGAGGTTGAAGCGGGAGGAGCTTTGCCGTCGCTCCTTCTTGACAATCTGGGGCCCCCCTGAGTACTTGATTTTGCTGAGCTGCGTGGGGGGCGGCGTGCTATTGCTGGGACGCTTGTTGGACGATGGTGGCTGAGACTGGGCTTGGGGCTGGGGCTGGGGCTGGGGCTGCGGCTGGGCCTGGTCAAACAAGTCACCTGTTGA